TACTGCATAGCCAGCAATCGCATGTCATCTCGTACATTGAAAATCAACATAATTTTGCGAATCGACCTTTTTTTCAGGATCACTTTTCAACGAGGACGAAGCAAAGTCGGCCGAACGAAGCCTAGAGGAAGAAAATCACCCTCTCCACTTCACCATCACGATACTGACATACATACGAGATGAAACAACTAAAAAATTCACAAGAAAACTGTACGACCATCATCGCGCTGACTTTGGTCTGACTTTGGTCTGAGAATTTCTATCACGATCAAAAATGTACGAGGAGCACTCAAAAATCAGCCACAGACGTACCTTTATCGCTCTCTACTCCTTTTTCAAGGCACAAAAGTCGACTCTCCACTTTCAAACCAGGAACCAGACATACCAGTGGTCCTTTTCAGCTGCTCCACGAGCGCAGGAAATGTTCACCAAGGGGCGCAGAGCAGCATCCATTCCAGAAAAATAGCTAAAATACGAGTGAGACTGCATGCCTGAGTACATGAGTACATGTATGAGTACATGCAGAAAATAGTCACTTTCAGCGTTTCTGCTCCAAACAGCAACTAGCTTCGACTAGAAACAAAGATTACACCAAAGGATCAAACAACAACCATTTTCTGCAGTTTTTTTGCAGATGGCTTCCTTGTGCTTGGCCCAGCACGCCAAAAATCACACCTTGGAGGAGTACAAAAATTACAACTCTCAGATGTCCTTGATTGCTGGCCATGGTTACAAATAATGCATACTGCTTGATAACAGAGAAAGAAAGTCAGTGGTCACACAAGTTTTTGGTCGTCCCTGAAACGAAGATCGTTCCAGGGGGGGGGGGGGGGGGGGGGGGAGCTAAAATCTCAGTCGACTGACGCTATGCATACACATGTACATGCATGCGATTTTCGTCGTCCATTCATTTCGGAGGGTGGAGAGGAGGTCCGAGTACGAAATGAATGATGTTTTTTTCAGGGATGACTAATCACTTTTGCGATGACCCCTTATTGCATCAATTTATCGTTTGAGTCCCACATTTATTACGTTGGGTCCAGATTTCAAAACTCGTGAAGTTCGAGGCGAAAAGCAGGCCGATGAAGGGACGCCAGTAATTCAGTCTAGTCCAGTGTCATGGAGATGGACCGATGAACCGGCAATAAGAGAATTCAATACACATGCTACTCTTCAGTTCATTGCTGGGGAAGACTACTCAAGGCCACGTCACTTCGGCAATTCAATGTACAAATCAGCAGCAACACTTGCAAACGTATTCCTACCAGCTGACCAGCAAGTTACCAGCCATCAGCTCTTCAAATAATTCCAACTTAACAAAGAGAGGATATGGACAGATCGGAAAGTATCGTGGCAAGCTCAGGACAACACACGTCCGGCCCTATGTAACAACAGTGGAAAGTGCGTGCCATGGTATATTTTCGAAGGCATATCAAGAACCAGCTAATGTGGACTGGGAGTCCATTTGCATCGTCCGATCAGCTGCTACAAGTGCCGTGAGCCAATGGCAAACACGTTTGACAGAGACTACTACCTCTACTGAATGCAACTTTGGCATGGCAGAGATCTACAAGCACGTTATCTTATCTATCAATAGAGTTGTATCCTCGTATGACTATGTGAAGTGTGAGGTCGTACTGTACTGCAGACGCGTCTACGACTTGGTTGGAAATGTACGCAACAGTTCCCACCCTCTTGACCAGAGATCGCACACACCCTAGGGTTTTGATGGGTTTGTACGACTCCCAGCTCTTGACTTTTGTTGGGTGTACGAGACGCACGCACAGTTTTCTTAGGGTGAGTACTTTTTCATGTAGTACTGAATGCGGCAAGCAGGACTCGCCCATCCGCCCCTCCCCAAATGGATCAACTCGAATGGTTGCGGAGGTAGGGGTGCTCTGGCGGGATTTTACGACACACAAGCGCGCACACACGCACACAATATACACACGCACGCGCACACACATACACACGAACGCACGCTATGTCGCACGTCTTGGGCATGGCTTCGTGAATACAAAATTATTTAATGTTATAATTTATAGTATCCAAATGTTAGAGCAGCTTTACAAAACCTACCGTTCAATACCGGATCATCTTGTGACAGCTTCCTTGCAACACCCATGCCTTGACCCCACTTCGTCTTGACGTCGGGAAATCGTTCACACCGGAGTTGGGACGTACACGACTCATTGAAATCCAGGCCTATCTGCAGCTGGGAGCAGGATAGAGCTGATGGACGTCAGCAGCGGCTGTAGAACAACCATAAACGAGTCTTCTTTCTCCGCAGTCAGGCGGGACAGCAGCTTTGCAACGCAAGCTTCTTGACTTCTGTGGGTCTTTAGCGGCTGGGATTCGGAACGCTCTGTAGAAACCATTGAACAAGTACCGGTACTGCACTCTGTCAACCCACAAGTATTTCTTCCAATTCATGATTATTCGCAACTGTTTATGCAGTACCCGCACCAGATCAGAAGCCGCTAAGTAGCAAGGTTGAAAGTTTCAAGACAAATTGAAAAATATAACACTGTAACAGAAAATTAGAACTCAAACCATACCTGTGGCCCAAGCCAATACAGACTGAGCGTTCACCACTGGTTCACGCGAAGAGAACGTAGATCTACGTCAGATGAGGTTTCCTTAGGATCAGGAGGTGATTCTTGACCCGGATCTGGATCGCGATCAGCAGCACTCTCTGCCTCGATCACGATCATCAAATGCAACTATTTACTTGGAAAAGTAGTTCATTCTTCTTCTTCTTTTCGAGCTCCGATTTCCCACGATCCTATCGACCCTGCACGAGTCAAGGAGTGCACTCCCATGCCAAGTACGCGGAGTAGTTGGTTTATAACTCAGGGCACGCACCGGGGATATCTGAGGGAAAAGTGGGAGAAAGTGCCGCGAGTCAATCATAGTCGGCCCGGAAGGCCTCGTGTCGCCTCCCGGGTCTATACCGTATACGACTCCCTGGTTCGAATCGTGTAGCCACCACCACGTGCTGAGCACGCGAAGCGTGTGAACAGTGTAGGTGGTACTTTTTTTTTGCATGCAGACACGATCAGTACGAGTAGCAGTAGCAGCCGCGTGCAGCTGCACTGAGCACGCGAAGCGTGCGAATCATGTAGCCACCTAGCCTAGGGTAGCGCTATCACTAGCAGCGCAGCCGCACAAGCGCTGCGGACCACGTGAACCGTTCTCTGCAAATAGAAACATGTGCAACAAAAGGATACAAAAGATCTGCACTGACTGCACTCTGCATCTGATCTGCAGTGAAGAGCGCATCGCACTTTTGTTCGTAAGTAAAATGAATTTTTTGAGCCGCTTCATCCGCCACCAGGTGATGGACAACCCTGACCAGCCTCCCGAAGGCGTAACAGACGTCCCTCCTTCTCCTTCCAACCATGAAGAACCTTCCTCACCAGGACTTCAGCGGTCTGGCCACCACCACGTGCTGAGCAAGTGTGCTGTTCATGTACTTGCTTCACCCGCATGCCACATTCGGCCAGGCAACGCTGGCCTGGGGTGCTGCTAGTAAAGTATAAACGTTCGAAGTGCTCGTGTTAGCAGGTGTAACAAAGCCAAGACTCCAGTAAGTAACCAAGTTGCCAAGAGTCAAGACATGATAAAGACAACTACGGTAACTATGTTACTTCATAAGTTCTCTCCGCATCATGTAGTCTTGTACTGTTGTAGACTACATGATGACCGGTAGACCATGATCAGGGAGCCGTACAAACCCGTAGACCTGACTACAGTCTGTACACATGGTACAGGCTAGCTCTCTGACTATGAACCATGTGAACCGGATCGCGGAGTGATCATCTGAAGTGGCGATCGATACGTCGCATACGCGATATAGCGAGTCCGAAGGACTGGTGACCATGGTGACGTCCGTGCTATGCAAAATGCGCGCATACAAAATAAAGATTTTTTGTTTGTTTTCCAGTCCATGCTCGCATACCGGTACAGCAAGCCGCAGATCAAACTCCGTACTGTGCGCACCAAATCCCGAAAATTGCAAAGCGGATCAAAATCAACGAAAATGTAAAGCCAGGTACTAGGTGAACCGTGATAATGATAATATTATCGTAGTAGTAGGTTTTTCATTTTGACCCGACGAGACCATACGACGCTTGCAGATCACAGCACGAACAGTTCACCAGCCACACTCCACGAAAGCAAGTAGTAGTACTCCTGACAAGTCTTGTTTCGTTCCATAGGGATAATAACGGGGAACTCATCAGAGGAGAAGCAGTTGTTGAATGAAGGGGTTTAGCTGAATAATGCTATTTTTATAGACAAGATATTGGCGCACTGAGGTGTAAACACTCAACTAACTCACATATGTGACATATCAACACAAAAGGAATAGTGCAGAATGGAGGTGTTCTGAACCCTACCAGACACAACTATCACAAGTGCTAAATCATTCACAATGAGAAGGAGAGGTACACAGGAATAGGTTGCGCTAGTTTACACGTCACAAATGGTACTGAGGTAGTGACAAAGATAGGTGAAAAGTAGACGCCAAGTGAAAGCCAACAAATCATCACGAACGTCTAACGTCACATCTGAAGATTGCTAGCGGCACAAGACAAATACTTCACAAACCTTGATAATTGAAATTCAGCCAGCGGTATAGTGAAAGGAAGGCTGCTGGGTGTGACATAGAACTGTGGGCTGCTGAGGCGACGTATCCATCCTGATCAGCGTAGCAAGTAGTAAACTGTTAATCTAGTTAGAGGTATGATCATGTAGATCTCTTGGCTTGACAATTACCGGTATTATTTTGTTCTTTTGAGCTTTTGGCGTTTTGCCGTTTCGGCGCGGCTGTTGCATAAAGTATGTATAATTATGTATGTGCATGGACATGAAAACTGTCATAAAACGAAAAATTCTTCTTTTTGCCCCAAACAAACGACAGTTACGTCACCTGCATCCCCGGCCTCGGACTCGTCTGCAGACTGTCACTCTGCCTCAACTGGCTCAAGACAGTCTGGACAGTCACAGGCAGTGAGTCGTAGAATCTTCACCCCGGAGACTTCGGGTTTGTACGACTCCCTACATGATTCATTGTACTGTAATCTGAGTCTAGTCTACCAGGTCTACATGATGCGGAGAGAAGTAATTAGTTTGTTTGTGTTGGTGTTGACACACCTGGTATGAGCACTTCGAACGTTCAAGTCTTCCCGTCTTGTACACGCACAGCAGGTTGAAGTGTAGTCGAGTCTGTGGGTGCCTATTCCACTACACCGACCCGTAGATTTTCTACGCTCCAGCCTGAGAGTGAGAGCAGCTAGGAATCAAAGAAGGATCATTATTTTGGTCCTTGAATGAGTAATTCAGCATTTCCCTAGTGATTACGCTGAATACTTTAGCTGCAGGTTTGACTCTATCGGCACCGTAGCGTCCTACGATCCAGTCGTTCAGTCTAGTCTCCGGTGTGGAGCGTCGCTGCAAAACAACACCACACTTTGCGGTGGAAAATCCGGGGAAGATTATCCTCTCGAGCCAGTCGAGGTAAGTGTGCGCTGTTGTGTATAAGCTCAGCGCAAAGAATTCTTGGACATTTGAGTGAATCCGTTGTAGTAACATACTGACTGTTGTGAACATGGAAATCCTGTCGCACGTCTAGCGGCCACAATATATAGCATTGTGCTGGCCCTGCAGCCGTGGATAAGCGGTACACACATGCATTTTATGCGCTGCAGCGCGCTAGTCGCATCGGATCAACATGTGCCCTGCACGCAGCGTTCTGTACGCGCTGAGGGCGCCGGCCCCGGTCAATCGACCGGATATGAATGTCCACGACAGTATTTATGGCATAAAACTTGCGTAGTAGTACACTTGCGCTGCAGCACACGACTGTACGTCCAAGTGCAATAAGCAGGGTTGGCTATGGAAACACTTGTACCCCCCCCCCCCCCCCCTGTCGCCCCTGATAACGTAACTCGTCATCAAAATTTAATGAATGGTCCAGTTGCATTCATCCTACACACTGAGACTAGTTGACGTGAATATGATCTGAGGAAATGGTCTAAACCCAAGGCGGACATGTAGCTGGTGTCCTTTTCAGGTGTTTGCACAGACGCATATGTGTAAGATGGCTGGCGCATGTCATTCATAGTCATTATGTGCATGTCATTCATAGTCAGGGTTCCAACCCCATCAAAATAGTAGGGGGGGGGGGGGAGGGGGCATGGAAAACAGTTACCATGTCTCCCATTTTTCCACTTTCCAATATTGTCTTGCCACGCTGAATGCAACGTATGGGGCGAATCCCCGACTTCGCCCCAGACAAATGTGCCTTCATTTAAAACTAATAGTGACTTTCAACTGTATTTGTATTCGTACTCAGAGGCGTAGGTCGAAACATTTAGGTTTGGGGGGGGGGGGTGCACGTGCTCCCGTGCTCAATGCGGACTACGCGTCTATAATAATAATCCGTTGCATGCACACGAAGACTTCATCTTGCATGGGGCAGAGTAACATTGTTGCAGGGGTAGGGTTCCTTAGTTCATCTAAATTACACAGCTGTTACAATTGAAATTATTCATTTTCTGGTTTAGTAGTACATGGCTGTACTAGTGTTGGAGCATTCGTACTGCAAACGTGCATCCAGGAATCTCACCCCTGCTGCCCCCAGAGTGTGCAACTACAAAAGTTGATGACATTATTTTGGTATGATGGCATGCACGCAGTTACAGGGCGGCTGTTGGCGTAATTTTGTATATAGGTCAAAGGTCTGCGAGTGCATCCGTGCGCTCAAGTGTGTGTGTGTGTATGTGTGTGTGTGTTTCTAAGCGGCTGGATGCAGGAAGGGGGGGGGGGGAGGTGCTGCGAATTTCTCGTACTTTGCAGAGAATTGCATAATGGAATGCACTGTGTGTCTAATAAGCACACAAGCATGTCGCAAGCATTGCATCATACAATTATAACATACACTGAGTTTGTGTGGGAAGAGCATTGCATGCGGTATTTACTTTTCATACTCTGCAGCCCGCAGTTATGTATGTAAACATTGCTATGTCAAAGTATACAATTGAGCAGGCTGCATCTGGTGGCTGCTGTCCATGTGTGCGGGCACTCTTTTTATACATCAGTCATTCATGTGCATCGTATGGGTAGGGGTAGCATGCGTGCACGGATGTGCCGTGTGCGTGCATAGATGTGACATGTGGGTGCACAGATGTGGCATGTGCGCGCACAGATGTGACGTGTGGGTGCGCACAGATGTGGTGGGTGTGCGCCCAGGCATGGAAAGCATACGCATGCAGAAGAGCTGTTTGTGCAGAAACGCATGGGTAGCGTGCCGGCACAATGTCTGTGTGTGAGGACAGTGACTGGTTTGTGCAGGTCAGCATGCTGATGTGTGTCCAAACACGTGTAAATATACTGCAGTGGTGGAGATGGTGCAGGTGATGACAAAATGAGCGTGTTGTCTATACTGGTTACCCCAGCAAGAGTATGATGTGCAGAGGTGACTGTCTTTGCCGTCCAATTCCGATGTACTCCGTGTATTGTATGTAGACCAGGTGTGCATTGGGGGGTCGATTCACATGGCTTCCTCAGTCATGTGGGTTAGACAGTTATCTGGCGCTAGTCTTGATCTGTTTCATTCGGATCTTGTCCTCCGCTATCGTGGCGACAGTGTATAAGAGAAAATAAATGTTGTGGGTGCACATCCAGTTTGAGTACATTTACAGATTAGTGTACCTCTCTTGTGACAGGCGTGTACATGGTACAAGGTGTCTGTGCATGTGGGTGAGTGAGTGGGTGGGTGGGCGAGGTTGTGTGTTTTTGTGGGGTGGGGGGGGGGGGGGGGGAGTGAGGTGTGTGTGGGCGTGCGTGTGAGTGTGAGGTGTGTGTGTGTGTGTGAGGGGGGGGGGGGGTGTTGGTGTGTATGTTTGGGGGGGGGGAGGGGGAGTGAGTGTGTTTGTGTATGGGTGCTGGTGGTTGGTGGTGGCGGGGGGGGGGGGGGGGGGAGTGGGTGTGATTGTTGCTGGTCCCGGTTGCAGATTCTGTTTCTGGCCATTCCGCTGTTGCTGATGTAGACACCAGTGGTGGGTTTTCAATGCTGGAGAAGATGATGTAATGAGTTTTGCGCACAATATCGTTTTTATTTACGATGCTTCAGTGGTGGGTGAAGGGGGGGGGGGGGAGTGGGTGTGATTGTTGCTGGTCTCTTGCGACAGGCGTATACATGGTACAAGGTGTCTGTGCATGTGGGTGAGTGAGTGGGTGGGTGGGCGAGGTTGTGTGTTTTTGTGTGGGGGGGGGGGAGTGAGGTGTGTGTGGGCGTGCGTGTGTGTGTGTGTGAGTGTGTGGTGTGTGTGTCCATATGGTGCAGTGGTATGTGCAGCGATTTCCAATCGATAGGTTGCGGGTTCGATTCCCGACGATTATGGTCACACACGTCTTTCTTCTCTTTCTCAGACTCTTCCTGACTTTTCTTTCATTCTCCTGGGTGGTTACCAACAGCCAGTGCATGCCGGAGTATGTGGTGTGATGTGTGTGTGGGAAAAAAAGAAAAAAAAGAAAAAAGACCAAAAATAGGGATTCACTGGCCAGAAAAAGTCACTTCAAATAGCTGTATGGTGTAGACCAGGCTGAATAGTGACGGTCAATTCTTCAGCCTTGCAAGCTGTTGAATGGTGCAATCCCAGCACAAGTTGCTATGGCTTCTGCCGTAGCATTGCTATCATCGCCTCCGGCGATGGGCGTCAAAGGTCAAAGGTCAAAGGTGTGGTGTGTGCGTGTGAGGGGGGGGGGGGTGTTGGTTTTTTTTTTTTTTTTTTTTTTTTTTTTTATTGGGAACACAGCCCTACAAAGAGACATGTGGAGACAGACACAAGACAAGACACAGGGGATGTAGGGACGACGTGCCGATGTACAGGGAGCAACTCGACCGACCAGGGGTCTCGGCGTTAGCGTTGCAACCTGGCATCGAAAAAAAAGGGGGGGGGGTTGCATGGTCAGGTAGCAAAAATAATAATTTGGTGCGAGAAAGGGGCGCTAGTATTGCACCAAATAATATAAATTAATACGTGTAATGACTAAACCAGAAGGGAAAATGAAGAAAGAGGACAATAATCATAACAAGCAAGTAGTAGTAGAGAGGTAAATACTAAATGGGTCTCAAATCTCAATATCATCGTCACAGGTACTGTGTGGACCACAGCCATCTCTTTCGGATTAGATCCTTACATACGTTGACCTTGAAGGTTTGGAGGCGTCTTGAATGAGGCTCGTGAAGCAGGAGGTCCGCAGGCAGGTTGTTCCAGGGTGTGATGGCGAAGAAGGGGAAGGATCGCAGGAGGTAGTCAGGGGCTGTGCGAGGGGGTGTCCACTTCAGCTGAAAGGCATGGTGCATCTGACGTGTTTGCCGTGTGCACATGCTAGCTAAGGCAGGGGGCTTGGTTGGTGGCAGCATGGCCTTTACCTGGGGAGGCCCTGGAATGTAGTGCAGCTTGAACAAGTATGACAGGGCTGCCACCATCCGACGAAGCTGAAGACTTTGGAGGATGGTTCCAGTGGTGTGTATGTTTGGGGGGGGGGAGTGAGTGTGTTTGTGTATGGGTGCTGGTGGTGGGTGGTGGGGGGGGGGGGGGGGGGGTGGAGTGGGCGTGATTGTTGCTGGTCCCGGTTGCAGATTCTGTTTCTGGCCATTCCGCTGTTGCTGATGTAGACACCAGTGGTGGGTTTTCAATGCTGGAGAAGATGATGTAATGAGTTTTGCTCACACTATCGTTTTTATTTACGATGCTTCAGTTGTACTAATAGTCCTATATTGGCTCCTACTGTTGTCCCAGTTTAGAACGTGTACCAGTGTCCTGCTCAGAGTGATGTAACGCTGTTCTGTATGGGGTGACTACTAGAACCTGGTTCTGATATTCATTGACAGACTCTAACCACTGCTGCCGTATACGGGACAGTTGTTCTGTATGGATGACTGAATGTCATGCTTTGGTACAGCGATGACGTTAGTTTGCCGCAGTGTGAGCATTCACGATTTTTGGTGCATTGCAGTTTTGGCAGTGATAGCTCCACGTGTACTGCGGGTCTAGCGTCATTTGGCGCACGTGGGTAGTGTTGATAACTGGACCCATTGCCGGTTTAGCTGCGCCACTGCGTTGGCTGCGATTGCTGTGTGCTCCCCCCCCCCCCCTTGATTTCCCGCTGGCGTTTGCACCATGATAGTTTGTAGCTACCTAACAAATTTAAATTTTGCAAATGCTGGTTTTTATACATTGTGTAATTACTCAGCGTTATTTGCAAAAATAATAACAAATTTAAAAATTTTAAAAATATTACTCAAGTGTGACTAGTTAGTGTGGCGGCTATGGTGTTAGCCCATTGCGTATCGCCAGAAAGGAATGTACTGTCGTAGACATGGAAATCCGGTCGATTGACCGGGGCCGGCGCCCTCAGCGCGTACATAACGCTGCGTGCAGGGCACATGTTGATCCGATGCGACTAGCGCGCTGCAGCGCATAAAATGCATGTGTGTACCGCTTATCCACGGCTGCATGGCCAGCACCCTGAGGCCGCCAGCCGTGCGACCGGATTTCCATGTCCACAACAGTATGATTAATTCATATCACGATTGGATGTACTATCTCTCGCCTGTCGAATCCAGGGAGATAGGTGAGAAATGATTTCTCGCGCAATATTTTCCTGTTGAAAGTGAACTGTACCTGTGTATATTATGATACTGTTTTTCATGACATTGAGTTGCTCACTTGTCGCTCTCTCCATTGGGTTTTCGTGCACCTCCTGTGTAGGAAAGTCTGCACCCAGTTATCCCTGCGCACAGCTTCAGTGAGATGGAAGATGAGAATGTGCCTGGTAAGTTATTCACAATTGCTAAAATACTTTTCTCTTCTTTACCAGTGTATGCAGTGTGTGCAGTTGTGGCAATGAGAATCTGGATCGACATACATTGTACACTTGGAAATGTTTCAATGCTGAGAACTGGTTTTGATTAAATTGTGTTGGATTCCGGTCACTGCTTGGTATAATTATGTCAGGGAGTTGAAGTATCAAGCTGGATAGCCAACCCGGGTGACTAAAACACCAAACAATGAGGGTCTCCTGCTCTGGTTGTCAGACCCAGTCACCCTTAGAGCACGGCCAATTCATGTGTGTTCCTATGCGGCTTCGCGAGACCGGCTGTGTTTCTATCCAGGGGATTGATAACGCCGTGTTGATGGTGACATTCAGAGATCACTGAGCATGAGGAAACCCAAAACATTTTCGGTTCTCTCATGTTATCTACCTATATTCTTGGACTGTCTGTGGAGAGCAGCCTGGATTTCACTTTTCCAAAACTTGCATCCTTAGTTCTTGACGTGCCTTTATTTTGTAATGATTTGTCTCTTTTTTTTGCCGAGACTGTTGTAGCTGCTGAAGGCTGCAGTGGTGATCATGAGAGCAGTAGTAGGAATGAAAGTGGTGGTAGCTAAGAGAGTGTTGGGGGGGGGGGAAGTACCAGTATCAATGGTGGGTCTGGTGCTTCAGGAGTGCATTTCTCATACGTTGGCACTCTCAGTAGGAATAGAACTGCTACTACTTCAGTTGTTTCTACTGATGTGTCGTGGCTATATGGCTATACTGTATTGTGTGTAGTCATGGTTGAGAAACTCATTGCTACAATCATAGATGTAGATATCAACTTCAGAATAAATCAGGCCACAATGAGTTATGTTTCTTCTCTCTGACTCTGTGTGTGTGTGTGTGTGTGTGTGTGTGTGTGTGTGTGTGTATGTGTGCGTGTGCACGTGTGTGGGTGTGTGTGCGTGCGCGCGTGCGTGTGTGCGTGGGCATGTGCATGTGCACATGTGTGTATGTGTGTTTTTTTTTCTTTGTTTAGCTGCCGCAGGCAAACCGTTTGACTCGCCCGAGTTCCTTGCTGACATACATCCGTGGTTGCTGTCTTTGGATGCCGACATGTTCCGGGAGGCAGCACAGCAAAACCAGCTGCTACGCACTTTTGACAGTGTTGCAGACCTGGAAGACACTCTACAGCGTGAAGGTCGGAAAGCGCACAACAAGAAACTGATTCAAATCATCTCGGCCAATGAGCTGCATGGATACCAACGCTTGTGTCACGTCGTTGCCGAAATGGGCTACCATACTCGAGTGCACCAGATGTTGAACCAGCTGCCAGAGAAGGATCGACCATGTCTAGGCAAGTTACAGTATTAATACTATTGCTCAATAATGAAGGTGATCATGTTGATACTCACTGGTTTGAGGGAGAGACGCAAACGAGAAAAGTCTGAAGAAAATATTTGACTGTCACAAACCAGGACTCGAACCAGGGACCCTCGCTGGTAGACAGTTGCCATGGTAATCAGTATGAAGTGCAAGTTCCTCATGGAGTGAGTGATCTGTGTAAAGGCTGAATATGTCTTCAAAAAGAAGCTACAGTAGACATCTCACTAGATCAGAACTCATTGCATTCCGCTAAATTCTGTAGCTTCCACTGGTCAGTAACTATGGGCAACCAGAAAGCCTGGTGCTCATCTGTGTTGTCTCCATGACGACAAAATCGTGTTTGATTGAATGCCAGGAGACCCGAATTCACTGAAGTTTAGCAATAGGAAAAATATATCGGGAATGTTTGAGAGACAAGTCTTGTGCTCTCTCTCCAACCTCCCCCCCCCCCCCCCCATAATGCATATGAACAAAAACAAACATCCATGCAACAAATTGTGTACTCTGATTTGTAGGGTGTGACATTGCTACATTGTCACATGCTTCCATATTTCTTACAGATTTACCCAGCGCAGTTGACATGGCAACCACAAGCGTACGTCGGCGAGCCCGGACAGGTGTGGACGGTGGCAATGGTGACAGTGATGGAAGAGCAGTGTCACAGAGAGCAGACGAAAATGGTGAGGAACAAGGACATAGTTTTATCTAGCCCCATAGTCTATCTTGCTTTTTGCAGGTGTTTTCCTTCGTTTACTAGGGACCATTAGCAACGCGAAAGGGGAATTGGGTAAGAGTCCCATCCTGACCACGCGAAATATACTCGTGTTTGACGAGCTCGGAGGGGTTTACTCGTGATGAATGCAACGAGTGGGTTTTAGTCCAGTACTTGCGATTTCAACCATGATATGGAGAATAGCACGGTAAACTCTTTTGTCTTTGCCATTTTTCTCAAATTTCGAAAAGGTGAAATCCACTCTAGCCAAACAACCAGTAAGACCATTGATTTTGGCATAACTATTGCCAACATGGAACAGAACAGGGTCGAGGGTAACCACAGTGCCGAAAATTAGATTTGTTCAAGACCACCTTCAGCTTGCTCGCCCGTTTTTTTGTCGACTGCTCCGAAACGTACATTTTTTCAAATGTTCTCAACTGACTGGCTCCATTGTAAAGTTTTTCGGAGAATGTTTTGACATGGACATCGCGAACATACCACCTTGGTGCACCAATCTAACCGGCGACGGGGGTGTCATGGGGCTTCTTTCATTTTCATTCGGGTAAAAGTCAGTCAAGCTGAGAATTGTTCTCAAGGAAAAGTTCGCAAAAATCAGTGCCAGTAAAAGTATCAGAAAACTGTTTGAATCTGGAAAGCAGCCGACTCACGTAGACGGGTTGTGAAAGCAAGGAGCTAATCCTATATCGCGCCGTGTTTCATGTGCGTTCCGATCAACTTGTTCCCGTTGACGTTTCACGGCTGGTTTATGGTCTCTACTGTATCTCTACCCCTCCCCCCCCCCTATTTTTCTTTCTTCGATCGGTGTCCTTACCGAATTTTCCACTCTCTTCGTCTTGGCAGCGGCATAGGAAGATGTTTTGGTCAGGGGGGGGGGGGCTGACTTCCAGCCACTGACCCGCTCATAAACCGGTGTATACAATTCGTACATGTAAATGTGTACCGGAGATCCTTCTACGGAGAGTTTATTATTTTGTTCTCCAAGTATTACACTCTACTGTGGGTTGCAGCATGGCTGGAAAAATCCTTTCGCTTCCGAGCGGGACTTGAACCTGACCGGGCACGAGGGAAACATAGATGCAGTGAATGGGATTTTCGTTTTTTGACCACTTTGTGGTGGGTCTGATCTACTCACCTCCCACCGCTTAGGAGCTGCATCTGGGCCTTGATCCAAGAGGGTGGTGGCGTTCCTGAGGATGCGGAAAACTCGGCCTTTGGGCGAGTCTCACGCGCACCGTAATTTTTTAAATTGTTTTTATTGCACTCTATAGCAAGCGTGGAAACTGAGTACAATACTAGAATCTGGACAATAATAGTGAAAGTGCTGTGCATCATGTACATGTATGTTGAGCACTAGAGATAGCATGCAGAGACCTCTGTATATCTAGCTCTGATTGACAGCCGGGCCAAAATCCAAAAGAGGGAATATTAACTGAATGCGGAATACGTCCATAATGAAGAAAGATAGTTGATCATAGAGCAAACCTTACTGGCAAAGACAGAGAGGTAAGCTGATGTTCAAGAACTCCCTGATTTCAGCAGAATCCCAGACTCATTTCCTGCTAGTGATTAGAACTCTACGACTAGTGTAGATTTTTTTTACAATATAAAATCATTTGTTATGTTCCGCTGATAACGAATGTTCCACGATGGTGTGGACGACTAATGTTGCCGTCAGTGGTGATATCTTTTGGAAATCACCGAATGATGGCTACAAGTCTCGCGCTCTGTTTCTTCATGAAACTGTTGAAATTTATCACCACCGCCAAAGACTATGGCCAGTCGTACCTAGCAATCTTGGCTCTGCAAGACCTGCTGTACTAACCTTAAAGCTGTGTTCACAACTGGTGCGTGTACGCGTGAAACCACGCGTTTCTGCGTATTTTTGCTGGCTTTTGGGGCGTCATGCGTACGGAAATGCACTGAAATGGAAATTCCAACATGTTGGAATTGTCAGCGCGTATCAGGCGCGTACCAGCGTACATGCCAGTCACTTTGACTGGCGGGGTCAAAAAATTAGTACCCAAAGGTGTCGCACGCGCTAAATGCGACTCGGATTGCTGATTTTTGTGAAAACCTGAGCGCGCGTTTAGGCACGCATGAACCGCGAGCCTACTTTGTCCACGCGCCAGTTGGGAACACAGCTTTAGTCTCAACATTTTCTTCTGGAAAGCGGTTTTCTCCAGAACGCAGCACTAGAACATTGGGAAGAACTGACTCCGACTACAGCAAAGTACTCCAGACTTTCCGATTTTGAAGGAAACAGCCCGGGATGAAAACACTTCATCAGCAGCTACGAAGTAAAAACTATCAAGTTTGTGGTGACTGTGCTTTACACCGGCGGCACGCAAAGTACTCTAATTTCAGAAATCTTCGGTGCTCAATATTTTCGGTATGAGGGCAAAAGGCTAGGTTAGGTGAACAGAAATGTTAGGTACAGAGAAGCAGTACCCTATTGGATTATGTGTGTTAGTGTTTGTTCGGTGTATTGAAATTTTAGGTATGAAACAGACGCACCGAAAGTACCGAAAATAAAAGTACACCGAAAATTTCTGAAATTACAGTACTCAGTGGCTGTGCTTTACACCGGCGGAACGAACATTTCTTTTAGATTTCACACAGTCGACACTTTCTGGGCCTGTCAAGTCATGTACACGTGTCAGTAAGCCCACTGCATGGGCATGGGCAGATAGGACTACGATTGATCTGAGTGCATGACTTGCGCGTACAAACATGTTCACCGAGTTTCCGCCCTACATGCGCCAAAAGGTTTGGGTGGGGGGGGGGGGGAGGGGGTGGCGCCCCCCCCCCCCCCCATCCTACCTCACTGCTCTATGCTTTAGTCTTGTTTTGCGTGTCGGTGTGCCCATCTACTCGTACATACATACGTGACATGTGTGTGTGAACTTTTTTCTGTTTTGTGAGTGTTACTGTACTCATGTGTGTACTCGTTTGTGCACGTGTATGTGTTTGTGCACGTGTGTGTATGTGTGTGTTTGTCTGTGTGTGTGTGTGTGTGTGTATATGTGTGTGTTTGCGTGTGTTGCAGCAGCGAGCCATGGAGAAGAGGAGGGTCATGGAGCAGAAGAGAGGAATGAAACTGCAGCGGAGCATGAGGCATCATCATCAGCTGCACCAGAGGCAGTACCAGCTCAGAAGCCCAAACCATTCCTTGCAATGGTGGCGGGGCTGAGTCTCCTTATCATTGCTATCATCAGTGTCTATTACGTTCGTAGTGCCGACTACGGTTTCAGCTCATCAGGTAAGATCCAGTATCTTTGTACTAACTGTTATATTCTGTAAAGTCCCACAATAAGCGAGGTGGGTCCTGCGACAGTGACCGCTCTTCACAGTGATTCAATCAGCACTGGCTGTAATCCGCATTCTCTTTCATTCTTCCCAGTTTTGATTCTTGAGCTACAGCACGCAAAAAAGGCGTAGACTCGGGGGGGGGGGCATTGGTTCGTTCATATTCTCTCTGGGGTGGGGGGGGGGGGTGGGGGGAGGGGGGGGGGGGGGGCAAAGAGGGGAAATACACAATAAACTGTGACATTGCCAGGCAAATGAAGGTCAGGGGTTCAGAGTCTTTGTTTATAGTACCGGTTTGCTTCGGCAGTTTTGCACCTATCAACGAGGGGCAAAATTATCCACTGCCTATCTCCCATATTATCCACTGCCTATCTCCCATATTATCCACTGCCTATCTCCCATATTATCCACTGCCTATCTCCCATATTATCCACTGCCTATCTCCCATATTTTCTTGATTCACAACACACCACAGATACACTACTGTAAGGTATTTTCAATTTTGAGATTGATCTCAGCTGCGACGGTGCTTGCTGCAGCTGAATCCACTCTAGTGCGATGACAGTGCAGCGACAATTCCTATCCACCAGAAGCTGCAATCTCCGACTCAGAGGAGAGTGATTCAGACTAACCGATCTCTCTATTGTCCTTGTTGAGCAACACAAAGTTTTATCACTCTCTTAGTATTGACTCCCATTGATTTTCGCTATACCTAAGCAGTCAAATATTCCTGCATATTTCACTCCTTAGCGCTATATTGACTGCTTATAGTTGACTGCATGCTTATGGGTTTCGCAGTTGAACGGTGCCTAGTGCAGCATGGTCACTGTATGAGTAGGTGATGGTGCAACGGTTGTGCAATCATAAAACTGGGAGAGTTCTGGAATTTGAAAAACCGACTGTTTGTCGTGATAAATCTAATATTGACTTAGTACTTGGTCAGTATAGGAAATGAAAGCCTCGGAAAAGACCTCGGCTCCGCCTCGGTCTTTTACTCGGCTTTTATTTCCTATATTGACCTCGTACTGAAAGAAAAATCATCAGTCACACCACCGGGACTCGAACCAGGGACCTTGCTATTCGCGAGCAATGCTCTAACCAACTGAGCTACAGTATGACTCTTATCCACAGTGATGGTAAATCTATCCTTCTTCGATCGATCCACATCTGGCTTGCAACATACTGGCAACTCACACCAATCAAGAGGGCCCTCGGCCTTCGAGTCCCGGTGGTGTGACTGATGATTTTTCTTTCTTTCATATCTGGCTTGCAAGTGTTGAGTTTCGGAGAGAAAAGAGCAGTAAGTGGCATGTGGCCTCTAATTTCCTAAAACTTTGAAATTCTCCATGAAGTCCAAATTTGAAATTGCAATTTGTATTTGCTCGCAGTGGACATAGTTTGATGCGCTCCCCATGATATCAAGCGAATGGCCGAGGGCCCTCTTGATTGGTGTGAGTTGCCAGTATGTTGCAAGCCAGATGTGGATCGATCGAAGAAGGATAGATTTACCATCACTGTGGATAAGAGTCATACTGTAGCTCAGTTGGTTATAGTATTGCTCGCGAATAGCAAGGTCCCTGGTTCGAGTCCCGGTGGTGTGACTGATGATTTTTCTTTCTTTCATATCTGGCTTGCAAGTGTTGAGTTTCGGAGAGAAAAGAGCAGTAAGTGGCATGTGGCCTCTAATTTCCTAAAACTTTGAAATTCTCCATGAAGTCCAAATTTGAAATTGCAATTTGTATTTGCTCGCAGTGGACATAGTTTGATGCGCTCCCCATGATATCAAGCGAATGGCCGAGGGCCCTCTTGATTGGTGTGAGTTGCCAGTATGTTGCATGCCAGATGTGGATCGATCAAAGAAGGATAGATTTACCATCACTGTGGATAAGAGTCATACTGTAGCTCAGTTGGTTAGAGCATTGCTCGCGAATAGCAAGGTCCCTGGTTCGAGTCCCGGTGGTGTGACTGATGATTTTTCTTTCTTTCATATCTGGCTTGCAAGTGTTGAGTTTCGGAGAGAAAAGAGCAGTAAGTGGCATGTGGCCTCTAATTTCCTAAAAAAATAAATAAAAAAACATCGTACTGAGTCAATATTAGATACGTATGTCGATGAATCAACAACTATTTTCGATTGTGGAGTGTGAGCTTTTTCAACTGATTGGACTAAAACCATGCGCCGAGTTTTGCAGGTTGGAGATCGTAGAGGGAAGATAGTTTTCTGCTTCTTTTTTGGTGAAACACAGGAGCATGGTGGACTACAAGTAGAAGCTTCAACCTTCTTTTCTGTTCTCTGAACTTTCATGTGTGCTTTGGTCCAGTGGATCGCGCTGAGCACGTACTGAGGATTCGCTACGGCAAGGCCAATGAAATCCACTCGCCGATGTTTGAAGCGACAACAGCCAACACTGTTGACAACATCTACATCAACCTTGTCATGTTGCCAAAGAGGAACCTAAGCGAAGAGTTCAAGAACGAATTCCAGTCCAGCTCCGACGACATGTGGCGGACCGAGCATGCCTTCACTCGCGCAGGGCAGAGAATGCAAAGCGTCCACTTGGAGTCTCTTCTCGACAGAACCCACCATGGTCCATCATCCCATCGCACAGGTCAGACTCTCGGGACGATAGTCATGGCTAGTGCTGGGTGCGGGAAGTCGTTTGTTTTTACGAGGGTGGCACCGATCAAATGGGCAGCCGGTGAACTGTGGCCTAACAAGAAACTGCTTGTTGCAAGAGAGTTGCGTTTCCCAGACGTGCACAAGGCTACATCCCTGAGTAAGCTACTTGGACTAGACGGCATTGGTATCGAAGACAGCAATGCCCAGCAGGAGATCTGTGATCATGTCCGCGAACACCCTGAGAGTCTAGTTCTTATTTTAGATGGTCTTGATGAGGTGAACCTGAAAGACATGAGCAGTTTTGTCTATGATGTACTGTTTGGCAAGGAGCTGCAGGGAATTCATCTCATAGTAACATCTCGACCATGTGCCGACATCTTCCAGTTGTCAGTATTACCTCACTTCCACCAACACATCGAGCTAATGGGATTCAAACAAGATGATGTGGAGAGGTATATCAGTAGCGCACTTAGCCCGGAGAAAGCAGAGACTCTGATCGCAGAAGTCAATCGTTCAGCTTATCTGAGTGGCATGATGGCGACCCCATTCATGGCACAGGAAGTGTGTGTGCAGTACCACTTTGGCTTGGACGCGCCACAGTGCATGGCGGACATGTTTGAACAGATGATCGTGCAGATTATCAACCGGAAATACGGCCGCAAATACAAGCAGTGGAATGAGGTACCTGTTGAGGCACAACTGCTGGTGATGGAAATGGGACAGTTTGCCTTCAATATGCTTGCCAAGAAGCAGATGATTTTCAACGATGTCGATCTCCAGAAGCATTCTCTCAGTGAACATGCTTTCAAACTAGGTTTGTTGGTGACAAGCGAGGAGTCTCTATCAAGGAAAATTTTCAGACAACATCGGTTCAGCCATCTGACCACTCAGGAATATCTGGCGGCAATCTACCTTGCCAGACACCCCACACACGATGTCATGAACAGTCCCAGTATTATTCGACTAGTAGAAATCCTCGGTGCAGAAACGGCACACTTGAGAACATTCTGGACCATGCTTTGTGCCCAGCTGAATACAGCACAAGCCGAATGCCTCGTGAACTCGTTATTAACACGACAGAAGGTAGAGGAACAGGATGAAGAAGGCATTTTGCACCACTTTTATCGGTACACATCACATGTTCATATTGAGGACTTGGCTCAACCACCTAACATTTCTGCATATTTCGAGAGGTCTGATGAGCAGCGACGCTATCTTCAGAGTCTAGCATTTCACTCCTTCGCCGAGCTGGCAATGCAACGAAAAATGGTTAATTCCCCACTGTCGTCAATACGCGCATTGCTAAGGTCTGAGCAAAAAGTGTCGATATACTCAACTGATCATCCTGCAGAGATACGCTCGATCGACATAGTCCTTCGCCATCACCCCCAAGATGTTCAGAGGGTGGCCATACATGTTTGGCCGATGTCCGATAGTGATCTTGTCCCTTCATCATTAGCAAACTGCAGTGGGATCCGAGTATTGGTATCCTATATTCCTCTCTATAGCCACGGTGATGTGGCTACTTTCACCTCTGCTGTACAGCATTCAGCCAAAAATCTACTCCAGCTGACTGATGGGAACACCCCAATGTCCTCCTCTCTGATTGCTGCACTCTCAACATGTCACCGGCTTCGTGTCCTGGATCTCACGTCTGGCATTCTGACTACTAGCAACGCCGGTGCTTTGGCCAGTGCATTGTTTAATCTCACAACACTGGAAGAGATCAAACTGCATGGTAGTGTGGACCTTTCAAGTGATGATGTGGCTGCAATCACCCGTGCACTTCACCGTAGTAGCAATCTATCCACTGTTCACTTTACCGACTGTGGCTTGACTGCATCTGTTCTACCAGCCATCACAACAGCTCTACAGCACTGGAAACGCCTGAAGACCTTGAGCCTCAGCCTCAACACCTTCAGTGACACTGGTGCACATGAAGCTTCTCAGTTCTTCTCTGCGCTCTCACAGCTCACTGATTTGCGAAGGATTGGGCTTAGTGATTGTAGTTTGCCTGAAAGTGCTGGCTCCGCTTTAGCAACTGGACTATCCAATATTAGCACCCTGCATGTTATTGCTCTGGCTAATAATCGCAATCTAGGTGATGAAGTTGTTATAGACATTTTGCATGCACTAAGGCAATGCAAAGACATGCGTCATGTCGATCTGGATAACTGTGGTCTGACAGCCGCTTCATTGCCAGCTATTACAGCTGCTCTGCACAGCTGGCCAAACCTCTTCACACTGCACCTCAGCGGCAATGATTTCAGGGATGTTACAGACGACCAGGCCAACAGCTTTATTGCTGCCGCGAAAGCCCATGGGAAACTTAGTGGGACACCTTTTTACGATTCACTTATGGATTCCACTCAAAATAGAGCATATTTAGCACTGAAGTCTGCTACGTTCAACTAACACTTTCTCACCAGCGTACAATTTAAATCATTTCAATTATCTGCTATAAATGACTAGACAATGGCGAGACAAGAGCTTTGCAGCCATGGTATTGTTATCCACTGGCTAGTTCACGTCAGTTCAAGTCGGTGTATGTTGTCTCCTGCAACGATTAAAGCATTCTGCACGGTTCTGGTTCCCACACATTGGTCTGGCCATTTTCTTAAATTCTCACATCTGTTATTGCTCCTTCAGTGTTTTCTTTCTTTCTGACATTGAGATTTCGAATTCTTTATTCTCACGATGGCACCATCTCCAATAAGAGATAGGACATGTGTGTACAATTGCCAATGGGTGTATCTTTCGGTGATCTACCTCACCTCCTCGCGTATTTATCTGAGCTCTGGTACGAACTGACAAGAAGTAGACTTGTATGTGTTACTTGACGGTATTACGGTCAAGTGCCGAAAGGTTCTTCTTACATATCGACTAACGTAATTCCGACATTTTAAAATGATATATGACATGGTTTATCAGTCTGACACACCTATTTGAACAACAATCAATCTACCTTAGTCCTCACATGTTGAATGCATGATGCCCCCGGGACATAACAACAGAGGCGTTGCAAATGACTTCTCAGCGGAAACGCATATGGGCACTAACTATTCAGTGCGCTGTACGTGTGTGTGTGGGGGGGGGGGGGGTGTAATCATGTAACATAATCACGTTTGCACCACCATCCGTATCAATGAAAATGGAACAGGAAGGGAACGAAAGAGAGAATGTGTGGAGAGGGGGGGGGGGGGGGGTGGTGGTGGTAATCATCACCGCACACTTGCACCACCATAAGACATGCACGAACTTGTGAATTTTGGTAACACTATGACAGCATACAGCCGTGCTGCGACCCACAGTTAATTGAGAACTCGTGGCCTGGCACGAGGAAAACATGGATGCAGTGAATGGGATTTTCGGTCTTTGACCACATTCTGGTGAGCTCATCTACTCACCCCCCCCCCCCCCCCCACCGCTTTAGGAGCTGCATCTGCGCCTGGATCCTTGAAGGGTGGTGGCGTTCCTACGGATGCGGAAAACTCGGCCTCTATATAGAGAAACCGAGTCTGACGCGAACCGTGGAATTTTTATATTTTTATGACATCATTGGATTTGACTATGAGAACATTGGACGTTGGAATCGATTGAAACAAGAACAAACAAGGATATCCTTGGACAGAGACAAGGATAGAAAGGCGTGACGTTGTTGCCCCAGCAACCCGAATGGGTTAATGATGATGATGATGACGACAGCATTCAGGGTAGCCACCCCAATGCCTATAGACAGGAGGAGCCTTCTTTTAATCCAAATCCAGGTCCCCCCTCCCCACACACTAATCTCCATTATAATTTTACTGGTGAAAAAGGAGAAGGACAAAATGTTACGAGTTATGACTGTCTGTCCACCAACGTAACCAGATCTTATACAGTCAGCGAGTGCGACAAAATGGCACAAAACTGACAAGGAGTACTGAGACATGTCAGTTTTGTGCCAATTTTTCGCACTGGCTGACTGTATAAGATCTGGTTACGTTGGTGGACAGTTAGTCATAACTCGTAACATTTTGTCCTTCTCCTTTTTCACCCTAATTTAATTTGCTCACCATCCGAGTGGAATAATTTTTACTCACCCCTATTCCCGCCATCACTCAAGTCTCATGCTCATGTTATACAGATGACACACTAACAAAAAAAACTATTCACGGTTCGCGTTAAACTCGGCTGAAGGCCGAGTTTTCCGCAAGCGTAATGACGGTACCACGCTCTTTGGATCAAGGCGAAGATGCAGTTCCTTAAGTGGTGGGAAGTGAGTAGATCAGACCCACCACAAAGTGGTCAAAGGCCGAAAATCCCATTCGCTGCACCCATGCTTCCATCGTGCCAGGCCGCGAGTTCCCAATCAATGATAACACGCTAACACAAACGTGATAGTGTAGAATGGAGGTGTTATGAACCCAGCCTGAGGCAACAGTCAAAAGTTCAAGTTAGGTTTTAGTTGTGTCGACCAGGGTTCATAACACCTCCATTCTACCTTGAAAAAGGTACCCATCTCCATCTGAACTCATAGCATGCAAACTAAGAGGTACTGAAATTGGATACACTGACCGTCGCAGTAATCATAATCTACACGGCCGGTATCATCACGCATGTACAAACAGAGCATTGGGACTGTATTGTAGGTAGCCAACCGGGCTAACATCACTGACGGCAGTGCTCTGAATGGATTCTAAGGCTGCGTTTACACGACAACGCATGGCCAGTTTTCCGTTTTTAGTCCCACATTTCTTTTTTTGTTTTTGTGCGTTTACATGATCAAAGCGGATCCGAAGTGGTCTCCGTTTGTATCATTTTCGCGCGTCTACACGAGAGCAAAGGATCCGCCAAAGTTTGTCATGTGCCAAGTGTTGTCGTGGAAGCACCAATCACACTCAAGTATTAGTTGAAAACAAAACCCAAAACAACACTCGTCCTATGACGAAAATTATAGAAACAATTTTTATGATTGTCGGATCCGTGTTAACGGCCGAAAACGAAACAAACGTGATGGAAAACGAGGCCAGCACACCGTTTCGACTGTTTACTCACCCGAATGTATCCGGCAGAACATTTCCGTTTTCAAATTCTTCTACCTTGGCCAGCGTTTTGGTTTTCTTCCGTTTTGGTGTACAACTTTTACGTTTTGCTCCACGCACCGTCTAAATGAACCATGCATCCCAAAGGATTTTGTTGCGTTTTCACCCCCAGCGTTGTCGTGTAAACGCGGCCTAAAATCCCCAGCAAGCCATTACTGGATATAACTGGATAGCTGGCAGCCAGAATGAGATGGTTTAAGATCATGATTGAGAAACACAGGGTAGATCTGACAGGCTCAAGACCGGCATGGAAGTGGAAAGTGTTTTTCCGGCCGTGCTGCACCCTAAAGTACTCATGTTTAGGCACAAGGGAAATATTGATGTAGCAAATGGGATTTTCGGCGTCTCACCACTTGGTGGTGGGTCTGATCTACTAGTACTTAGCTTTCACTGCTTTTCAGAAGCTGCATTTGTGCCTTGATCCGTGAGGGTGGTGGCGATCCTATGGATGTGGAAAAAATTAGTCTCTTCAAGTTGCGAACCGTGAATTTTGTTTTGATTGGACAACCAAGAGGAGCCAGCGACCCTCGCTTGTAGCCAGCAATGCTCTAAACACTGAGCTGTGGTGTAAGATTTTTAAAGGATTGGGGAGAACTTCAAATTCAAAGGGTCAGCTGGGGAAGTGAACGAACCCCCTGAAAAGAGAAAAAAACTCTGGAGTGAAAAACTTGTCAGCGCCTTCTAGGTTCAGCCTGGTCCCATAGCACAGTGGTTAGAGCATTGCTTATGACAAGCAAGGACCCGGGTTCGTGTCCTGGTGGGCCTGGCGTTTTTTCTCTCTTTTCAGGCAGTTCACTATCCCGACTGATCCTTTGAATATGGTGTAAGATTTACTATTTATTTTAAACCTATTGTTAACTCGACACGTTTAGAAAGTGCCTGCTCCGAAAGTGGGAGCTCATGCTTCCTGCCCACTGATTTGACAATTGTTTTCCTTTTTTTGTACTAAGTCCACTATGCTCGCGAACAATTGTGGAAAGTGGTGGCGGGGCCCTGCTGCTCAGCCGACTTTGGTGATCTCAGCGTCTGCACAGAAAAAGCTCGTGCAGCATCCTGGCAAGTGATCATTGCAGGACAAAGAAACAATTACTGTCAAGGCGGTCGGACTTTGAGCACCTGGGTCTACATGTGCATGTTCGAAAAGATATCAAACACGTGTCAACCGTGATGGCTATAAATATAATGTGCATCATTCGGGGAGCATTTCCTAGTCATTGCACAAAGTGCAAGTGGGTGAGCCTGGAGATGCAACTGCCTTGTCAGCCGGTTTCTGGCACGCCTCAGGGTTATATTCCTCCATCAAGTGTCCAGGGGCCGAGTGCAATTGATTGTTAGATGCCTCAGCCACGTCCCCCGGCGCCTGATAAAGATCACTGGCATTGATCGTAGGAGAAACAATACAAGACTTGTCTGCACCCAATTCCGAGAAAACGTCACCCAGACTATGGGATGACACCTGCTTCTCGACCTCCTTTCCTTCCCGGTCAGCGCACAACTCAGCATACAGCATGGGCGGTGTTTCGTTACGTTCTGCCACGTCTGAGGAGCTCATCCTTCTATGCGGTAGTTCCCATTCGTACGTGCTATCAGGTTGGTCATTGTTGTAGGTATATTCACTATCTGCAATGCTACTTATGTCCGTCATCAGGGAAACAGAGGAGTTGGACATCTTCCATTGTTTCTGGTATTGCGGTACCTCCGATTCGTACATGCTACCATCCTGGCTATTGTCGTAAGTGTCTTCACTATCCACAACGCTTCTCGTGTCAGTGAACAGGTTAACAGAAGAGTTGCCCACCCTCCACTGATTTTGGTATCGATGGAGGTCTTCGTTGGGTCCTTGAGTGGCGAAGGTGGAGGGCACATTCTTATGATTTGATGAGTTTCGTCGACAGGTAACGAACATGAATAACAGAATCAAACTGAGCACTGAGACCACTATAATCATGGCTCGACTGCTTGGGTGTCCAAGCCAGGTAGTCTCTTTCCCCGCACTAGTTGTTGGAATACCTAATCCGTTGCACAGCAAGAAACCAGAATGCAAATAGAACACACACATGCACACACATGCACACACATGCACACGCGGGGTATTCACACATGCGCACGCGGGGTATGCACACACGCACGCATGCATGCACGCACGCACGTACACACACACATAGACATACACACACACAAACACACACACGCACACAAACACACACAAACACACACACACACACACAAAACAACACAACACACACACACGCACATGCACACACACACACACACACGCACACACGCACACACAAACACGAATAAACACACAGGTGATCGAGAGCATAACAAAAGAAGATGCCTGGAAATGAGGTTTGAGATGAGATGCGGTTGGAATATGACAAAGAAGATGATGAGATTCTGTCAGCAAAATGCATCCGTGCTACAATACTGCGCTGAACAGTGGAACAATGACATGCATTGGCATATAATGCCGACAGAGTAAAGGCCAGAATTTGGGAGCTATACTGGTAATCCTTGTGCATGTTTGATCATTGAAAAGGGCGGGGAAGAGAATTTTAAGCTATAGGCACCACATGACCCCCAAAGTCTAAATCAATCAAATGTTTGAAGACCCCTACGCACGCAGGTTGGGTTGTTGTGTCACCTCCCCCGTGGACTTGTACTTTGCCGCACAGACAAGCCTAGAAGAAAGCTAGCGTTAAATCTCAGTAAAGCAATCGGCCGGTAGACAGGAGGAGAATGCGAGGAATTACTCCCCCCCATTAGCTTTGATTATTTCCTATTGTTACCCTAAACTCTCAACACTACTATTAAAACATGTTGTGATCAGTGTTCACAAATATTCTAACATTGGATTTTACACACAAACTTTGCTGACTACCTACACAGGAAAGGCCTGGTTTTAAACCCTGACAAGACGCAGGTC